ACTACTATTACTACTATTACTACTATTACTACTATTACTACTATTACTACTATTACTACTATTACTACTATTACTACTATTACTACTATTACTACTATTACTACTATTACTACTATTACTACTATTACTACTATTACTACTATTACTACTATTACTACTATTACTACTATTACTACTATTACTACTATTACTACTATTACTACTATTACTACTATTACTACTATTACTACTATTACTACTATTACTACTATTACTACTATTACTACTATTACTACTATTACTACTATTACTACTATTACTACTATTACTACTATTACTACTATTACTACTATTACTACTATTACTACTATTACTACTATTACTACTATTACTACTATTACTACTATTACTACTATTACTACTATTACTACTATTACTACTATTACTACTATTACTACTATTACTACTATTACTACTATTACTACTATTACTACTATTACTACTATTACTACTATTACTACTATTACTACTATTACTACTATTACTACTATTACTACTATTACTACTATTACTACTATTACTACTATTACTACTATTACTACTATTACTACTATTACTACTATTACTACTATTACTACTATTACTACTATTACTACTATTACTACTATTACTACTATTACTACTATTACTACTATTACTACTATTACTACTATTACTACTATTACTACTATTACTACTATTACTACTATTACTACTATTACTACTATTACTACTATTACTACTATTACTACTATTACTACTATTACTACTATTACTACTATTACTACTATTACTACTATTACTACTATTACTACTATTACTACTATTACTACTATTACTACTATTACTACTATTACTACTATTACTACTATTACTACTATTACTACTATTACTACTATTACTACTATTACTACTATTACTACTATTACTACTATTACTACTATTACTACTATTACTACTATTACTACTATTACTACTATTACTACTATTACTACTATTACTACTATTACTACTATTACTACTATTACTACTATTACTACTATTACTACTATTACTACTATTACTACTATTACTACTATTACTACTATTACTACTATTACTACTATTACTACTATTACTACTATTACTACTATTACTACTATTACTACTATTACTACTATTACTACTATTACTACTATTACTACTATTACTACTATTACTACTATTACTACTATTACTACTATTACTACTATTACTACTATTACTACTATTACTACTATTACTACTATTACTACTATTACTACTATTACTACTATTACTACTATTACTACTATTACTACTATTACTACTATTACTACTATTACTACTATTACTACTATTACTACTATTACTACTATTACTACTATTACTACTATTACTACTATTACTACTATTACTACTATTACTACTATTACTACTATTACTACTATTACTACTATTACTACTATTACTACTATTACTACTATTACTACTATTACTACTATTACTACTATTACTACTATTACTACTATTACTACTATTACTACTATTACTACTATTACTACTATTACTACTATTACTACTATTACTACTATTACTACTATTACTACTATTACTACTATTACTACTATTACTACTATTACTACTATTACTACTATTACTACTATTACTACTATTACTACTATTACTACTATTACTACTATTACTACTATTACTACTATTACTACTATTACTACTATTACTACTATTACTACTATTACTACTATTACTACTATTACTACTATTACTACTATTACTACTATTACTACTATTACTACTATTACTACTATTACTACTATTACTACTATTACTACTATTACTACTATTACTACTATTACTACTATTACTACTATTACTACTATTACTACTATTACTACTATTACTACTATTACTACTATTACTACTATTACTACTATTACTACTATTACTACTATTACTACTATTACTACTATTACTACTATTACTACTATTACTACTATTACTACTATTACTACTATTACTACTATTACTACTATTACTACTATTACTACTATTACTACTATTACTACTATTACTACTATTACTACTATTACTACTATTACTACTATTACTACTATTACTACTATTACTACTATTACTACTATTACTACTATTACTACTATTACTACTATTACTACTATTACTACTATTACTACTATTACTACTATTACTACTATTACTACTATTACTACTATTACTACTATTACTACTATTACTACTATTACTACTATTACTACTATTACTACTATTACTACTATTACTACTATTACTACTATTACTACTATTACTACTATTACTACTATTACTACTATTACTACTATTACTACTATTACTACTATTACTACTATTACTACTATTACTACTATTACTACTATTACTACTATTACTACTATTACTACTATTACTACTATTACTACTATTACTACTATTACTACTATTACTACTATTACTACTATTACTACTATTACTACTATTACTACTATTACTACTATTACTACTATTACTACTATTACTACTATTACTACTATTACTACTATTACTACTATTACTACTATTACTACTATTACTACTATTACTACTATTACTACTATTACTACTATTACTACTATTACTACTATTACTACTATTACTACTATTACTACTATTACTACTATTACTACTATTACTACTATTACTACTATTACTACTATTACTACTATTACTACTATTACTACTATTACTACTATTACTACTATTACTACTATTACTACTATTACTACTATTACTACTATTACTACTATTACTACTATTACTACTATTACTACTATTACTACTATTACTACTATTACTACTATTACTACTATTACTACTATTACTACTATTACTACTATTACTACTATTACTACTATTACTACTATTACTACTATTACTACTATTACTACTATTACTACTATTACTACTATTACTACTATTACTACTATTACTACTATTACTACTATTACTACTATTACTACTATTACTACTATTACTACTATTACTACTATTACTACTATTACTACTATTACTACTATTACTACTATTACTACTATTACTACTATTACTACTANTTATTATTATTATTATTAAATTCCTTTATACACATTATTTGTTATGCAACATTCTTGACCTTTTAAGTTCAAGCGTTTTCGACTCCTGATCGTCAGATTGGCCACTGACATCAGCAAACCATTCCAATTTTTGACAACACTTATTGAGATAGGTATCTAACTAAAATGTGAAATAATAATACGCCCTTTCCACTTGTATGCTTGTGACACCTCAGCTGACTCACATACACAGATTTCAAGAAGTTGAACCATCAACATCAGTTGTTTCTCTTTTTGTACATAATAAGTAGGTAAAGATAGAAATAGAAAATATTGGAACACTATGCGAAATGAATGGCACATTAGTTTCACATGGCACATTAATACTGCGCCTACTATTCTGCAACTAGTGAATATTTAAATTTCTTTTTCTCAGGACATTATTAAAGCATTTTTCTAGTACTTATGTAAAATTTTAACTAAAAAATAATAAAGCCCCATAACTTACTAGTATGTTTTTAAAATTTTCTAGTAATACACATGGATAATGCAGAAAATATTGATAAATATATATGATTATAGGTCAGTGGCACTCGAGTTAAGTCCACTGTCATAGATCTCAGTAGTACCTACCAGTGGCGGCTCGTCGGATGACGCAAGCGACGCACCATTTCACCTATAATTTCCGATTGATTGTGCAAATTAAAATTATTTTTAATTTTATATAAATTTTATAATTTAGGTACAATTCTCTATTGAAATTGTATTGTATTTGTGTGTTTAATACGCAGAAATAAACAGAATAGTTGCGTAGTGAACGCCTTCTAAAAAAATATTGCCTCCGTTGAGCGCGAACATCAACCTCATATAGTTTACGCAAGTGACGCAGATCGAAATCGGTCTACTTCTCTTCGAAGCGTTGTTTACGGCGGTCGTCATGGCAACGAGGCGGCCAACACGGGAGTAAACTACGATGTAAGGGAACGAGTGACAGGGATATTCAAGCAGCATTGTCATAGCCCATCTCCTGCCTTTAAACAGTTTATACGATACCCGTCGCTCAATGCACGTTTATAATGGTTCATAGTTAATATTTGTTTTGTACAATAATTGTAGAAATGTTTCCTATGTATGACCGAGCATGTATTTTATTGAAAATGCCATTTTCCAGATGGAAAATTGAGGACAAAAAGGATTTTTTAAATTGCTAGAGACCTGTGCCTTATTCTCTCGATATGGAAGAAAGGGGAAGTCAAAAGACAATGTGTACATTCGGAAGTTTCGGAATGAATGGTATTCGGAGTATAAGTGGTTATGTGGAAGTGTTTTTTTAACAAAACCTTTCTGTATGCCGTGTTTAATTGTGGGTGTAAAGTCAGGCATGTGGAATAAGGAGGTATTTAACAATTTTGGGAATGTAACGCGAGGCTGTCGTAACCACAAAGCTTCTTTGGAACATACATATACGGTGTGTGTTAAACATGTTAGCAGAAGTCCACAAGCCGAACTAATATTTCTATTTTTTATAAAATCTAAATGAAAATCCTTCTCACGAACGTCAGTTTTTCAGTAATATTGCAAATGCAACTAAAAATTTCCAGATTCATTTAAAACCGTTTGACCTTGAAAATTTGAAAATGCGGTACTTTTTTTTTCTTTTTGTCAGTCAATGAATATGCTTCACCTATTCTCAATGTCACGAGCAGCCACTGGTACCTACAAGGTTAGTTGCTTGCTCCCTCACTGGAAGTAAAATTGATGCAAAATTAACAAAAAAAAAAATCTCATTTATGGTACAGTCTTCTGCGGATGGAACAAAGGGTTGCTAAACAATAATATCAAACTCAGGAATAAATTACAATCACAATTATATTATTTATTTATTTTTTCTAAAATTCATTCAACACTAAATAAAATTGCACATATTTTTAGAGGTCAAACCTACAACAAAACACTTAAAAAATTACATAAATATAACAAAAATATAACAAAACGCTGACTGTTTAAAAAAAGTACATAAATTACCAACAACTATGTTTTTTAGAACCAAAGTTACATTTTACTTCCATAAAGGTAAATCGAATGGCTCTGAAAAAAATCAAGTCAAGAAAAAATAAACTACATAGGAATATACGACTTGTACAAAATTTGGCAGTACATAATAATTAAGACTAGTACGATCAATATAAATGCAGAAAAAAATGCTAAATAGGAATGTCATGCATTTCACAATTATACAAAAATATAAGTCAAACATGAAATGGGAGATTCAAACCCAAAACTTCTGCTAAAACTGTCAGTACAAAGATATGGCAATTTTCTCAATCTTTTGTTTAAAATATGTGTGTAACTTAAGAAATAAGTTTCGAAAAGCATTTGCTTGTGCCCTAAACGAGATTAAGGCCATATTTTGTTGAACATTTCCATAAAACTGTCATAGATCATGAAAGTTATGGCAACGTCTAGGCAAACTCTACCCAATCTAGGAACAGTACCCTTGTAAAATGCTAAGGGACCCTCATTCTTCCAAATTTTAAAGAAGCAGTCCAACGTGTTTTTGTACTTTGCGGCTTCGAGGCCTTGCATCCTCGTCTTGACTACATCTATTGGAGTATTTCCAAATACAGAAGCGGCTCCTAAAATAAGTTATTGGATGCAAAATAAAACTTATACATTGCTTCGAACAAGGGTTTCATAAATTGAGAAAGGACCCCTCACAAATCAAACGGAAATTGGCTTTCGGTGAAATCGGCCGAATTTTGGATATGTTGTTCCTTTCGGTGTCCAGATCAAAAGTCTCCATGGGCACGAAGCTCGAAAATCTCTCCTACGAGCAGTGCCCAACTTGGAAGGTTAGAGACCAGTAATCCCCAATTTTCGCTGATTTTACCTCTACCCTTGCATTTTCGGATATATAAGCAAAAGGGTAGTCACGACTGACTAGTTGATACAAACGTTGAAAAAGCATTTTAGGGTTGCAGTCGGAAAAATGTGAAATGGCCAAAAATAAAAATAAACACTCTTCGTTATATCGTCGAGCTTTCGGAAATGTTTATTTCCTTTTTCAAGACACACAATAAAAACATATAAAACCTCAATGATGATTATTAAAAAACAAACAAAATTAAATCTAAATGCATGTGTACAGACATATAACAATTTCAGCCGTTTCTGACATTTGAGGATTTTGTATTCAAACGTCAGTAACGGCTGAAATTGTTTTATGTCTATCCACATGCATTTCGATTTTAATTTTGTTTGTTTTTAATAATCATCAAAAATAAGCACTATTTTAGAAGATTTTTTGCTTCTTACAAAATTTTGATAATTTTTATGGATTTCGAGTAAAATTGGCATTTTTTACACATTAAATAATATAAAATTAGATTAAGATAAATAGAATAGTCTAGTACGAGGTGCGATATAACAAAGAAACAAATTCATAACAATACGTAAAAGTTTCAGTGTCAAGCTAGCTGTGATTTAATTTTAGTTTACTTTGTTTTTTATTGCAATTTATACTTTTGCTGAACAAACTGATATGTTATTAGTTTTGGGTTATTGTGAAGGAAATTGTTGTGCTACTGTTCGAACATATTCTGAGTTTTCCTAATCGAAGAATTCCAAATCACAAGTTTTAACTGTAACATTAAATCGTGGATAATGTACGGCCGGAACTATTCAGCTGGAGGAACAAATTTTGGAAAGAGTCGAAGAAATTCCTCAAGTAAATAAAAGGCATTTAATGGCAGAGCATGGCAACAGTTATTACAGGTTACTATACTAACAGGTGGATAGGTATAGGAAATAATGCCCCCCTTTAAAATGGCCACCTCGATCCTCGGACCTAAACCCATGTAATTATTTCCTTTGGGGAGTGTTGCGGACCACAGTTTATAACTTTTCAGTAAATACAGAAAACGAATAATGGGAAAGAATACAACATGAAATTAGTGTTATGAGAGGAATGCACAATTATTGGATAAAATTCATTTTCATTTTCGAAGAACTAATGCTTGTGTTTAAGAACAAGGAAGTAACTTTGAGCATTTACTGTAATATTATTTTAATGTGATTACAAATACCAATTTAGGTTTATTTAAAATGTTAATGTTCACTTTCTTACATTATTAGTTGATACTGTTTATTTAAAATATTAGTGTTGATTTTTATTTTATTGATTGATAATACTAATACTACAAATGTGTAGTTATTTTTTTTTAATGTGACGTTTTCTCATTATTATTCCCCGTTTTGAGGCTGCAATTATAAATTATTTTTTACAAATCGGAATTTTTGCCTATATTTAATGTATAAAAAATGCCAGTTTTACTCGAAATCCATAAACGATATATCAAAATTTTGTAAGAGCAAAAAATCTTCTAAATTAATGCTTAATTTTAAAAATATAAATTCTGTCGTCATTGGTGCACACAAAAAAGTTACGGGATAGCCAGTGGCGCACAGGCACTAGAAAGATAACATCCTGTATATGTATTCTCACCAAATTCTATATTTACCTTGCCCTTACATAAAAAAAAACAAGTGTATCAAATTAGAAGTTTCTAAGAAAAATAGTTTTCAAATTACTGGAAAAAAACTAGGTTATCTATATTTAGAAGGCTATATATCGGTAGGCGTGCACTTTTGTATATAGGTAAGTTAGGCTAAATAGTCTTATGTTCATTCAAGGAACCTGTGGTCAAGCGTTGTCCATCCTTTTCAGGGACATCCTGTATATCCCGAAAATGCAAGGGTAGAGGTAAAATCAGCGAAAATCGGGTATTACCGGTCTCTAACCTTCCAAGCTGGGTACAGCTCGCAGGGAAGATTTTCGAGCTTCGTGCCCGTGGAGACTTTTGATCTGGACACCAAAAGGAACAACATATCCAAAATTCGGCCGATTTCACTGAAAGCCAATTTCCGTTTGATTTGTGAGGGGTCCTTTCAGTTTTCAGAAAGAATAATTTTTTTCTGTGAAATCTGAAACACCCTATACAGTGACCCAGTTACAATAGCGAATGTCAGTGGTGTTATTAATTCCAATACACAGTTAAATTAAAGCAGACATCTTTATTGCAAAAACTACTGAATGACACTACCAATATTTGTATTTCAAGGCACATTTGATGATATTTTTAATGTAATGTTTTTGAGAATGGAAAAAAACCTCAAATACCTGAGGAAATCTAAACTGTAACCCCTACAATGGCTATATCGGTGAAAAGAGAATTTAATTTTCTATAATATGGTGGAAAAAAATACAGGATTTCCATTTGAATTTAAAAAGTTTTATAAAATGTCGATTATCTCGAAAATGGTTAGATTTAGGTACTTAACATTTTTGAGTCATTTTTAATTTATCTTGTCGATAATGCAATAATATGTAGGGTGTTCCATTTAAAATAACGAAGTTGGCAACTACTTCCGGTATAACCGGAAGTTGATGGCATTATTTTATTGAAGAGAACATATCTGATAACCTCCTTAAACAAAATTTCAGTCATATTTTCTTTGGTTTCTCTGCAATGTTTAATAGGCCACTTACCATGAAGAATCCTGTATAATATACAGCTAATACTGAATTTTCAAAATGTTATTTTTTTCTAAAAGTTTTACGTTTTTTATATAGGATATCTATTTATATTTTTTATTTATTTATATTTATTTAAGGGTGTGATTCTACATGGAAAATTAATGATAGTTTGCTTTATATACTATGGTCTAAAAATGTTCCGCGAAAATACAGGGTGTTACAATTTTAGGAAAAAGAAATTAATTCATATTTCCGAAACCGGTCGAGATATTTCAGTGATATTTAGTACGTAATGATAGTTAATAAAGCAGGGTTGATAGTTCAAAAGAAATATAGAATTCCCTGAGTTTACCAGGTTTTCTCTTTCAAGAACCCAGGGCCTGCTTTCACAAAATTTCCAGTAGCAAACGTCAAATCCCTGACTTTCATGAATACTTTTAAAATTCCCTGGCTATTCCGTTTTTTATGAAGAATAATTAATTCCCCAACTTTTCCTGGTATACCCAGTTTTCCATCAGGGCGCTATGAATCCTGATAAAGGCGCATGCTTTTCAATACAAACATAATTTTTAACTCGAACAGTGGCGTGAGTGTGAGCAGTGTTACATACTAAAATCCTGTTATATTCAGTAGCTGTCACTAAAATGTAAGATAAAAAAAAATTGTTGTATTCACATAAACTTAAATTTTTTTTTACTCAGAAACATTTGCTTTTATGCCACTAGAAAGAACTTTATTTGTAAGTATATTTTCTATGTAGTATTTTTTTATATTTTCAACCGTTTACAAGATATTAACAACTGAAAATCACTCCTGAAATTTTGACGTCGATACACAAAAAGTGGATGAAATTTGGGAAACATTTACTTGAAATTTTTTCTTTAAAATGTATATTTCCAAAGCTTTTTGCAGAATAAATCTAATTTATGTGATAATTTATTAACACCACTAATGCCATGCAAATTTTGAGCCATGTGGGAATAAATTTAATGTATTGCACAAAATACGAAGGTTGCGCTTTATATTTCCGAAATAGAGAACAAAAAAAGAAATTAATCATATAGCTTTACTATTTTTCAAAATATTCTCCATGAAGATCAAATACACTTTTGTGTAAAAAAAAAATACCAAAGCATTGCTGATGGTGTGAATAATTTTTTTTATCCTCCATTTGAATGACAGCTGATGAAAATATAACACCACTTTTATAATTTAATTATTTTCAGTTGATTTCATGAAAAAGAAGATATATCGATCACCGGATCACCAGACGTTGATCATTACATATAAAAAATTTAAATACCTGCTACTGCACCAAAAGCTCCTACAACTACTTTAGGTATCTTCTTCTCCCTATCCCCACCCTTATAGAGGTCCTTGAGAGTCTCCATTACGAAAAATCTAATAGCCTGGTTTGAACCCTGTTTCATCACTGTCGCAGTCAGTCCTTTGTATATACCCCCGAAACCTGAAGGCATAAACTTAAGTTTTAATGAAAATGTGATATATTTATTAGTAATATTTGCCTTGTTCCCTAACGATGATCCCGACACCATGGAAGAAGCCTTTGAACCTGGGGTTCGCACTTCGTTGATCATTTATAAATTTGACTTTGATCGTTTCCATGGGTGTGACGGCAAAAATGGCCTCCATAACACCAGCACCCAAACCACACAATAATCTACCACCTATACTTAAACTTCCGTCGGGTTGAACCATCTGGTTTTTAAAGGCCTCAAAGGAACCGAATCTGAAAGGTAATATTGTAAAATTGGTATTTTTTTGTAAGAAAATCAGTATCAGAGCAGCATCCATTTTTTAAAATCACAATTTGAATGACATCTGCAAATATTTGGTCACAACTGATTGAGATTTAATTGGTAAAAATGGTTTTACTTTTAACAATTTTTGTTCCCATGAACTAACTAACTATTCAAGAAACTTGTCAAGAAATTCATATTGTTGCACAGGATGATAAAATATTTCATGTCAAAATAAAGCAATTTAAATAAACTTGCCTGTAATTATTCTTTATATAAAGTACGATATTTTTTTTTGACTTGGTTGTTATGTAGGAGCAATCCTTGTCCTGCCCTTGCTGTTCTTGGACTAAGCTCAATGGGCACGCCGCTATCAGAAGCCCTAGGTCTAGCCCGAGAACAAGAAGAATAGATAAAAAATTCCTAGCTAAGGCTAAGGAAGTGCAAAGGAAGTCTGTAACTGGTGACGACCAGGCACATAGGCCACGGCATAACCCAAAAAACTATCATATTTTAAATATTGGCACGGGCTGTGAAGTCTTAAAATCACTAATAATTATTCTTGTTTAAGGAGCATATGAATTTTATAAGAAAACTTGCTCATAATTTACAGAACGAGGAAAATCTAAAATGAATGTTATTGTTATTTTTGACTGAATTGCTTGTACCTGAAAATGATTTCACCACAAATAGTGTACTTAAACATTCAATTTCAAGTTCCTGAATTTCACAAAGTACGATTTCATTTTCATTAAAAATAAATGAAAATTTTGGTAACAATTAAATCAGATTTGTATCGAAAATGCGTTTGGTAATGATTAATTGAAAAACTGCTGCTTGTGATAAAAGAACCAAAGTTGTTTAAAGGTCATCCACACAAAAATATACATAAAGTTGTTTAATTATATTTCTGTCATGTCAAAAAAAATTTATTTATGAATTATGTACTTAATAATATCATGCAATTGTCAACAGAGCATAACTTGATGCTAAATCCTAATAAATCGAAGTTAATGTTGTTTGGTAGTAAAAATAAAATTAATATTGTGAAATCTAGTTTAAATATCAATTTGAATGGCGTCATCTTGCCTATAGTAGATGAGGCGAAGAGCCTTGGGATAATTTTTGACTCTGATCTG